AGAGGGGTGGGGTGGGTGAGGCCATGGAGCAGGGTCAGCTGGTTTGAACAAGACCAAGACAGAACTACAGCCAGGCACTACAGCTTAACAGAGAATGTTTTAATAAATAAGTGCCTTAAGAGTATTTAAAATATGCTTCCATATTTCAAAACATAAAAGGTTAACCTGACAGGAGAGTTTGTGTGTTTGACCTGGGTTCGGGAAGAAAGGGCCAGACCTTGGAAGCTGCTACTGACGGGCCTTGCAGGGCTGCTTGAATCTTCACAGGCCTAGCCTGGGCCTGGCCCTGGGCCCAGAAGGAAGTTTAAAGCTTGCTCTGGAAGCCAGTTGGTGTCCTTGACCAACTGCATCCCTAAGAGGAGGCACTGCTGCCTGAATGAACTGAAGGTTTCAGCCCTGAGATGTTTAGTTGAATAGACTGATTTTCATTGAGCATTTCTGACGATTTTTCCAATTACTCCTGAAATTTCTTATCTACTATGTTTTGCTTTGTTTCTTCACTATGGGACCTGAATAAGGGTTGTGTCCCATTTTACTGTATTTTAAGTTTAAATTCAGCCATGGCTGGCATTGCTCAGTGGTTAGAACATTGGCCCATGCACCGAAGAGTCTCAGGTTTGATTCCCAGTCAAAGGCACATACCTGGGTTGCAGGTTCATTCCCTGGCCCCAGTTGGGGCACATGCAGAAGGCAAAAAATTGATGTGTCTCTCTTACATCCATGTTCTCCCTCCCTCCCCCACCCCCGACTCCCCTGCTTCCCTTCCACTCTCTAAAATATCAATGGAAAAAATATCCTCGGGTAAAGATTAACAACAACAACAAAATGTACATTTAACATGTTTCTCTTTTCTGCTCCCCTTGCCCACAGGGGATTCCACTTTGGCTGCTTAAAGTTTGCTGCTTAGGTCAGCTCAAAGAAGAAAGCAGGGACTCCCTCCCCCCGCAACAAGGGGTTAAAAGGACCCTAGCCCACACTCAAAGGCAGAGCCTCCCACTCAAAACTTTCTTGCAAGGGTGCTTTTGCTTTGCTTGCTGAATAAACCTTCTCTCGTGAGTTTGAATCTTAGCTCTGAATTCTTTTCAAAGCCAGAACTCAAGCACTGAGGTCTGCTTTCACTGTTCACATCTTGGTGCAGTGACTCGAATTGTCCTACTCACTTGCTGTGGTAAGTCATCCTCTCCAACCCACTCCTACCTCTATGCTCGTGGTCTCCTTTCTCAGGACCCGCAGCCAGGTAAACAGTAAATACTAGCAGTTTGTTAATTACCTTCTGGGAGTCTGAACTAAACCTTTTGCTGGAAAAATGAGAGCCTGAACTTGTTCGGCTCCAAAGATAAGGAGCACTTCCTCCCTCCAGCTCCAATCTCGGGTATGCTTAGGTGACTAAGAAACTATGTAGCAGTCTCAGCAGGCATCCCGGTGATGAGCAAGAGCCCCATAGGGAATTCCAACTGTAACTAAATAACTGATTTGTCTGCGGATGCGCACATAGAGGCTGGTTACTTAGCGCTCCCAGTCCTTGAGGCTAAATTAGCCGAGGAGAGAAGCAGAGACAGTGTTTGAGATGACTCAGGGGGAACAGCCCCTTGGAGCTCAACACACAACAGCACACTTCCACCCCCACACAATATCCCTGGAAATGTTGCTCAGACTCTACAGCTCTTACCAGTAAATTAAAACTGAAATTAATAGGAGAGCTTACATCAGTGATGAGAGAGAACCATTGATCAGCTGCCTCCTGCATGCCCCACACTGGGAATCGAGCTCACAGCCCGAGCATGTGCCCTGACCAAGAATCAAGCCGTGACCTCCTGGTTCATAGGGTCCATGCTCAGCCACTGAGCCACACCTTCCGAGCAAGGTCCCGGTCTTTTAAAACAGCTTTCTGCATACTCTTTAAGGTCCCTGAAACAGGGGAATAAGACCACCCTCAATTCCTTCTACACTCTTCTAACAACCTTTTCTTTATTTCCATCTTCTATAAGAGCCTCAGGAATAACTTAACAGGGACTCTCACTTCCCCTCGAGAGGTGGCTGCTCTGTCTCTCCAAGGCCTCCACAAAGACCAGAGATCTTGGGAACATGAGAGACAAGGCAACAGGTCACTAGCCCAACTATTGAAGACCAGAGTTACAGGAGGAGTTTTCCACCCAAGGTGATGACGATACTAGGCAACCCTTGGATGGATAGACATGATGGGTGAGGGGGAAGAGGACCTCCGGTAAGACCAGCTAAGGTTGGAGGCCAAGAAGCAGGGAGGCCTGACTTCGAACAGGAGCACTCTACACCTGGGTGGCACACAGACAGTAGGGTATCCTGCCCTATTGTGGCTCTCAGACCACAGGGCAGCTCAATATAGCCCAGATATTAGCAGGGATGCCTCTAACTGTTGGTTCAAAGTGTACCTGTCTCTCTGTAGATGGGGAACCAGTCCACAGTGCCTCGAGATACCCCTCTGGAATACATACCAACTGGGAGAAATTTGACCCTGAATCCTTAAAAAAAAAAAAAAAGGCTAATATTCTTTTACAACACGCCCTGGCCCCAATACAAGTTGGGCAACAGAGATGTTTGGCCAGTCAATGGCACCATTACTTTTAATACTATTTTACAGCTAGACCTGTTTGCAATTCCCAAGGGAAATAGTCAAAAGTCCCATACATCCAAGCCTTTATGGCTCAGGAATGACCCCAGGCTATGCATTACCTGTAAACTAGATCCCTCCAGAACTGCTATACTGTACTCACAGCCCCTGCCTCCCTTCCTCCCCCTGGTAACACCTCTCCTTCTCCTTGCTCTCCTGTGACCCCAAAGGATGAAGAAAGAACTACCTGTCAGGCTCCAGTCCCTCTTCCCCTATATCTGGGGCCTTCTCAAGCTACTTTAACTGGCCCTATACAAGAGGTAGCAGGACTGACTGGGATCCCTATGAGAGTACATGCCCCTTTCTCTATGAAAGATTTGCACACCAAATCCAACAGGACTTAGGAAAATCTCAGAAGACCCAAAGCTTTGATCTGAACTGGAGAGACATTACTGTAATCCTTGCTCAATCCCTAAATAAGGAAGAAAAGGTAAGATCATAAAGGATGCCATCCAGCTTGGGAATGGTATGCATATGATAAATACCCTCTAGGAATGATGGCTGTATGGGTCACTGATCCTTTATGGGACTATTAACAGCCCCAGAGGACCTGGAACTGGGACCATTTCCTAAAAAGCCTTCTAGAGGGAATGAAACAAAGCTGATCTAAGCCTATTAATTAGCAACTATAAGCCAGGAACCTCAGCAGACTACCACAGACTTCTTAGAGAGATTGAGGGAGGCCATCATGAAATATACTAACCTAGATCTTGATTTGGAAACAGGCCAACAGTCTTATGAGACTGTTTTCTAACCAAGGCTGCCCCCGATAGCCTGAGAAAACTTCAAAAGCTCTCTTAGGACCACATACCCCTACCCCAGGCCTACTTATGGCAGCCTCATCCGCCTTCTATAACCGGGATCTAGAGGAGGAGGAGAGGCTCCAATCAAGGGAGGGGCCTAAATATCAGAGAGAGGCTCAGTTATTAGCCATGCCCCGCTGTCGCTACTCAGGTTGAGCAGATCCAGGGTGCCCTGGAAGAACACCTCCTCCCAGAAACGACTGTATCTACATAAGATCTGGATATTGACAGAACCGCCCCCAGCAAGGAAGACCCAGGGTCAGGGTGGGCCACCTGGCCGCTGTGCACTCTGCCATGAGCATGGGCACTAGAGGTGGAACTGCCCCAGGAACTGCAGGGATCCTGGGTCCAACATGTATCTCCCCATACGGCCTTAGACTAAAGGGCCTTGGATACCATCTGGCTCCCAAATCCAACATAAACATCATGGGGATGGAGCCCAGGGAAACCTTGGAAGTCGAAGGTGAGACAGTTAAGTTTTTACTTGATATGGAAGCTGCATTCTTGGTCTTGAAAACCTTCTCTGGGTCACTCTGCTCTGCCTCTCACCTGGTGGCAGGTGTGGATGGTAAGCTGACCCACCGATGGCTCAAGCTAAATCTGCTGCGACTGGAAGGGTCACTTATTTTCCTACCAATTTATAGTTATCCCTGGTGCCCCAACCCCTTCCAGGTTGAGATCTTTTAGAAAACTAGGAGCCCAATTAATTTTCCAAGGGAGATAGGCATCTTCATTAAATTTTATAACCATCGGTCCCCCTCAAGACCCTCAAAATTCTAAGAAAGAGAATGAGCTAGTTAGATAATTTCCTGGACAAACCCTGAAGCTTGGGCAGCTAAAAGACCTGGACGAGCTAAAACTGCCAGCCCAATTTAATAACCTGAAGGGAAGCCAACCTCCTCCACTAGCCCCTCTGGTCCAAGATCAATAAACTTACCCAGGAGAAGAATGGCTACGAGAAATCACCCAAATGCCAAGAGAGAAGGGACTAAAACACCTTTTAGCTTTTATTGACACTTTCACGGGATGGATTAAAGCATATCCCACTAGGGCAGAAAGGGCCTCCGAAGTAACTGAGGCATTACGTAAGGAACTAATCCCCAGACTCGGCCTACCCTGGTCTCCACAGTGCAACAATGGGCCATCTTTGTATTCCAGGGCACCAACAACTAGCTACTTCCCTAGAAATTTAATATCACCTCCACTCCTCTGGAGGCCCCAAGCATCAGGAAAAACAGAAAGGACTAATCTTACTTTAGAGTCCATCATTAGAAAACTAAGCCAGGAAACGGCTCTCTCATGAGTTGAAAACAGTGTTGCTGCAAAGTTTCTCCACCATAAAGTAACCGGGGGCGCAGAGGATGGGCTGAGACCTGCCCCTGTGCCCACTGCAGTCTTGCGGCACAGTTCCTTTCAAAGTGCACAAATTCGTGCATGGGCCCTTAGTCTAACATATTAAGCTGGATCTAGAATTCTTATTTATTCATAAACCTGCTGCCTAAGATAAAGCAAGCAGTATAACCTGTTTATAATAATCTCCCCAGACTGACCTTAATCGCTGTTTATAATAATCTTCATCTCCATCGTCACGGCATCTCACTACTTTCCGACCTCCTCCTCCTTTGGCAGCTTCAGCTTCTTCCCCGAAACTCTCATCATCATTCTCCTGCACTGTGATTTTCTTCTGCCATTTCCGCCGCTTGAGCACAGGCCCCAGTTCAGAGTCGGTGCCTTCTGCAGACAGGTCCACCTCTGCTGCCGCCTCCCGCTCCTCCTCCTCGGTGGGTAAGTACTCGGACTCCTCACCCTCAGAATCTCCCTCTGCCTTTGGCCTCACGTCAGACTCCAAGTGTTTCTTTCCCTTCGGCAATCCCACTTTCCCCTGGAACTGAAGAGCCCTCTTCTGGAGTTTCCTGATGTGCTTTTTCAAGCGCTTGTCTGTTTTTGAAAGAACTTTGCTTCTCTTGTTTGGTTTGTTTTCACTGAGTGTTGGGCTCAGCTCAGAAGTGACCAAGGCTGGAGTTTTCCTAGACGCCCTTTTATTATAAGCTTGCTTCTTCCTTTCAAAAGACAGTTTTGCTTGATCTGCCAAATACTTTTCAAAGCCTGACGCTTCATTAAGCATTAGTTTCCTAGGCTTTTTCTCCTGTTTCTGAGGGATCTGGGTACCAAAAGGTGTCATCTGGCCAGTGCGAATGAGCTCTTCCCAAGCAGTCTCCTGAGTAGGCATGAGCATGCTGCCGAGGCAGGACGGCCCCGCTTCTGAAAGAGGAACAACAATGCATTGGGCACTAGCGTAAAACTCACCAGGAGTGCAAGGGATATACTCAGCCATTCAATAAACAGTAGGCTCCTACAATTAATTCATATTAAAAATACAGTGGGGCCTTGACTTACGAGTGTCCCGACTAACGAGTTTTTCGAGATACGAGCCATCTCTCAGCCGATTTTTTGCTTTGAGTTGCAAGCTAAAATTCGGGTTACGAGCCAGCTTCAGATACCCCACCGCTAGTTGGCGCAGCGAACGTCACAGTGAACGCCACAACTTCAGCCCAGCATCACGTGTCTCACTCGTTCACTTTTTGATTTGACATACAAGTAATTTGAGTTATGAGCTCCATCACAGAACAAATTAAACTCCTAAGTCAAGGCCCCACTGTATATCATCAATCATTAATACCTAGCTAATGTGACTCAGTGGTTGAGTGTTGACCCATGAACCAGGCCATGGGTTTGATTCCCGGACAGGGCACATGCCTGGGTTGCAGGCTCAATCCCCAGTAGGGGCTGCAAAGGAGGCAGCCAATCAATGTTTCTAACTCTCTCTCCCTTCCTCTTTCTCTAAAATCAATAAGAACGTATTTTTTTAAAAGTATATATATATATATGTGTGTGTGTATATATATATATACTAATAAAAGGATAATATGCAAACTGGTCACGACCGGATATGCTAATTAGTCACGACTGGGTATGCTAATTAGTTATCACTGGTATGCAAATTGACCATCACTCCAACACACAAGATGGCCACCCCCATGTGGCCACAAGATGGCCTGCAGGGGAGGGCAGTTGTGGGCAATCAGGCCAGCAGGGGAGGGCAGTTAGGGGCGACCAGATCTGCAGGGGAGGGCAGTTAGGGGCAACCGGGCCTGCAGTGGAGGGCAGTTGGGGGTGACCGGGCCTGCAGGGAAGGGCAGTTAGGGATGACCAGGCCAGCAGAGGAGGGCAGTTGGGGGTGATCGGGCCAGCAGAGGAACAGTTAGGCGTCTATCAGCTGGCAGGGGAGTGGTCTGGGGGTGATCAGGCTGGCAGGCAGGCAAGCGGTTGGGAGCCAGCAGTCCTGGATTATGAGAGGGATGTCTGACTGCCCGTTTAGGCCCGATCTCTGGATCAGGCCTAAACGGGCAGTCAGACATTTCTCAAGGGGTCCCAGATTGGAGAGGGTGCAGGCTGGGCTGAGGGAATTTCATGCACCGGGCCTCTAGTATATACATATAGAAAGATAGATAGATAGATAGACAGATATAGATATATACACACACACATACACACACACACACATATACTAGTATATATATCATTAGTATACTAAAGCATATGAAGAATAGAGTAAAATTTATCATGCCACTTTTAATATATTCCTGTTCAAAAAGGTGATTTCTCAATAATTTTTTCTAAAATATGGCATTATAAATATACTCTCACGCATCCAAAGACAGACCTAGTCATATGTAACATAAAGATAGACGAGTAAATTTAGCTATGCTTCCTTACCAATTAAAGAGTAACTGGGAGGAAGCAATCTCCCCAGTTTCCATGTCACTGCTAATACCAGCATTCAGGCTGACTTAAATTCAAGAGATGGTAAAACTGAAAACAGACATCTAAAGAATCAGCATGCACTGAAATAGGTAAACATACATGTCAGATCTGCACTATCCAATAGTCACCATGTGGCGATTTAAATTTGAGTTGAAAATTCAGTTCCTCAGTTGCACCTGCTCAATGTGCTCAATAGCACATGTGGCTGGAAACACAGACAGACATGTCCATCACTGGATAGCACTATGCTAGGTGTGTGAAGTTAACTGGCCGAGGGATGGACTAAAATTGGCAGCTATGCCATAATAACATAAAGTAACCTAGAAATCATCCTTCTTTCATTTGTTGAAATTAATAATCTCTAACAAGATTACTTCAGCCATGTAGTAGTATTACTTTATGCTATACATTTTATTTCCCTGATGACTAATGAACTATGGTACCTTTTCATAGATTTATTGATATTTTGGATTGCCTCTTTTGAAGAAAATGTTCAAATCCTTTGTCCAAAATATCCAAAGAAGTAAGGCTCAACAGGAAGAAATTCATATTCTAAACTCTATGTTTCTTGTAGGCCAATACTACCACGGCCAGTTTCTCAGTAAACCTGAACTAAAAACAAAAATCACTGAAATACACAGATCTTAATGTAGAGCTCAGTGAAATTTCAAAAAAACATACCCATACACCAGTATCCAGATCGAGAAACAGAAATTACTAACATCTCAGATGTGCCCTTCTTGGTACCTCCAAGCCTCTAACCACCTCCCACCCCCTAAGATGACTATCAACAGTAAAGACAAGTTATACCTGACTTTGAACTTTATGTAAGTGGAAATGTTCATACTCTTGTGTCTGGCTTCTTTTTCTCAATATTACACTTGTAGGATCCACACTTGCTGAATACAGTTGCAGTTTGTTGATTCTCATTGCTGTTAGTGTTCAATTATATAACTATACTACAATCTTTCCATTCCACAATTAATGGACATTTGGGTAGTTTCCAGTTTGGGCTACCAGGAATAATGTTGCTATTAATATTCTGGTGCACATCCTTTGGATATATGTTTATAATTCTTTGGGTTTGTTAAGCTTTAGCAGGCACTGCCAAACAGTTTTCCAAAATGGTCCTATCAACTTTAAGTTTCACCAGCAGTGTTTGAAAATTCCAATTGGTCCACATTTCTGTCATTCTATTTTAGCTACTGTTAGGCATGTAGTAGTATTACTTTATGGTATAAGTTTTATTTCCCTGATGACTAATGAACTATGATACCTTTTCATAGACTTATTGATATTTTGGAGTCTCTTTTGAAGAAAATGTTCAAATCCTTTGCCCATTTTTCTTATAGTTTGCCTTTTAAAAAAAGATTTCTAGCCCTAACCAGTTTGCTCAGTGCTTAGAGCGTCAGCCCATGCACCAAAGGGTCACAGGTTCAATTCCCGGTCAAGGGCACGTACCTCAGTTGCAGGCTCAATCCTCAGCGAAGGTCGGGCGCCTGCAGGAAGCAACCAACCAACCTGTCTTTCTTCTATACACACACACCCCCGCCCCTGCCCCTTTCCATTCTTTCTGAAAATCAATGGAAGAATATCCTCCAGTGAGGATTTAACAATTTAAATAAATAAACAAACAAACAAAAAAAAATAAAAGATTTCTAGTTCTCTATACATTCTGGATTCAAGTCTTCTGATTGATATATGTACTGGCAATAGCTTCTCCTACTCTGCCAATTTTCATTCTCTTAATACTATCTTTTCACATACAGAAGTTCTTAGTTGTAATATAGTTCATTTATCAGAACTTCCCATTTTTTGGTCTCATTATGTCTTTGCCCCAAAGTCATAAAAAATACTTTCCTATATTATACTGTAAAAGCTTTGTTCCACCAATCACATTTAGATATACAACCCATCTGGAATTTGTTTTTGCAGATGTGGATTAACTCGGCACACACACTGAAAACGTGTTCTTCTCCACAGCATTACATTACCATGTCTGTCATAAATCAAGTGCCCACATGTGGGTGGGCCTGTTTGCTGGACCCTCTATTCTGTCCCATTGGTCTACTTGTCTATACTTGTGCCACTACTGCAGTGACTTAATTACTGTAGCTAGATAGCTGGTCTTGATACTTTGTTCTTCTTCGATATCGCCTTAATTATTCTTGAGCCAATGAATTTTTACATGAATTTTAGAGTCAGTTTGTTAATGCCTTACCCTACACTTTCCACCCTAAAATCTCTTCCTCAAAGACCCCTGAAAACATATATTGGGGTTGCACTGAAGCTATAAATGGATAGAACTGACCTCATTACAATACCACATCTTCCAATCCATTATCACAGTGTGCCTTCCCATTTATTTAAGTCTTCTTTTTGAACAACATTTTCTATTTTTAAACATTTTTCTACTTATTTTAAAATACATTTTTATTGATTTCAGAAAGGAAGAGGGAGAGGGAGATAGAAACATGAATGATGAGAGAAAAATCTCTGATCAGTTGCTTCCTGCATACCCCCTACTGGGAACTGAGTCCACAACCTGGGTATGTGCTCTGACCTGGCATCGAACCATGACCTCCTGGTTCATAGGTTGACGTTCAACCACTGAGCCATGCCAGTTGGGGAACATTTTCTATTTTTTAATTTAGAAAGCATTGCAGAAAACTGTATTTTTTGTTAAGATTATTTTTAGGTATTTGATTTTTATAATTGGCATATTTATTAAATTTTACTTTTTGATTTTGCTGGTACATAGAAATATGACTTATCTATATGAGTCCGTCGCTATGATGCGCACTGACCACCAGGGGGCAGATGCTCAACACAGGAGCTGCCTCCTAGCGGTCAGTGTGCTCCCACAGCAGGAGCACCACTCAGCTAACAAACAGGTGCCAGATGCAGGGCTCACCTCTCCCGATCAGGACTGACTGGATGTGAGCCTGCAGCAGGCGCAACAAGGCTGGGATGAGCGGAGGAAGCGGCAGGTGGCGTTGGACTGCTGGTTTTGGCCCGATCCCGGCAGGCCATGCTGAAGGACCCCTGGTGCATGAATCCGTGTACCAGGCCTCTAGTTTTTATATATCAGCCCTATATTCAATGGTATTGCTAAATTCACATATTAATTCCAATAGATTGTCCATTGATTCTTTTGGATTTTCTACATAAACAATCATGTATTCTATGAATAGTCATAGTTTTATTTCTTCATTTCAATCTTATGCTCTTTATTTCTCTTTTTCCAAATACAACACTGTCCAGTACAATGTTAAACAGAAAAAGAGGCAGTGAGTACTTCATCTCCTCCAAATGAGGAGCAAAGCCTACTTCTAGGAATGGATTCTTTATAATTCCCACAACTTCTGAAATGGATCACTATGTGGAGAACAGGGGAAAGAAACCTCAGGTAAGCACGTGAGCAGAGAAATGAAGGTCTACCATACGTATGCCTAGCTCATAAGTTCAAAACAGGATTGCAAAGGTTCAGGAATGAGGTCAAGGTCTATGCCCAGGCAATGCAGAGCTGGGTGGCACAAAGAGTCCTACACACTCTGTTTTATTGCCTCTCCAAATTGGGCACTAGTGACCAAGAAAGGGCAGAGGAGGGAGGTCGATAAGAGAGACCAGGAGTCTGAAGTGCTAGCTGGTGCCCCAATGGAGAGATATAATAGGAACCAAAAGCTCAGAAAAAAGGCAAGGCCATAGGGTCTACAAATGTGTAAGATTCTAGAACCTAGGTGCCCGCAAAAGCCAAGAGGAGTTGGATGAGATTATTTGGGAAGAGGCTCGCCAAAAAATCCTGAGAACAATTAACATTTAAGATAAGGCCAGAATAGCTGGCCAAAAATAACTAAATAGGAATGGTCTGAGGGCCGAAAGGAAAGCCAGTTGAAAGACAGGAATCCTGGGAGACACAGACGTATCCATTGCTAATGTAGGGTGAAAAGCAGCTTTTGGATTTGGGGAAGTAACTATTAATCCGGGGAAAAGTTTTATCAAAGAATCAATAGGAGGTGAAAGATAGCAGCAAGTTTTAGGCAGCCAGACAAGAACAAAAACTTGTTACCAGTGAGAACTATGGTGCCTCAGCAGCAGAAAGCTTAGCTTTAAAAGCACACATCTCTAATATTTTTTCTGTTGCCTCAATGAATTCTTCATAATTCTCTTGTCTTACTGAATACATTTCTGGAGCTAGTAGAAAATATTTGCTTGAAGAGCTTAAATGCTAAGAAGCCTTAATCTTTATTTCAAGTAATAAATGAATGACCAGCTACCAACAATTTCTAAACATGCAGACATACACACTGACCACAGAGGTATTTCATTTCAGAGCTTATGCATTTTCTCAAAAGGTTTTCCAAAAGACCCCCATCTAAGACAGTGATACAAACAAAACCATGGCCATGGTATAGCTGGAATGAAGGAACCTTTCCTTAAACAACAAAACTGATATTTGGAAAGTCTATCAAATATGCCCCAAAAATATATGTGAAATCAATTCTATGAATGCTGATGATGTTGGGCTTACAAAATGTACCTCAATTAAGATGTTAGTTGTCTTTAAAAAATTAACTAAACAAAAATGTAAGAGTTCTAATTTATTAAACATAATATTAAATGTGGACAAGCAGCCAATAGTAGACTGAGTTAAAATTTCACTTTCACTCTCTAACTTTGGTTCTGCGGGTATAGAGAATAAAATTTTCCTAAATCAGTTTTGACACTAAGGCAAAGAAATATATTTTTCAGAAAACCTAGGCTAGGACTCATTATTGGCCTCAAGTATCAATTCAAGAACACAGAGACACTGTTCCCAGTACCTCACCTGGATCCTCCTCCTCCAGACTGGCATGATCTAGTTCAGCTTTCACCGCCACTCCTCCAAGGAGGGCCTGCAGACGTTTCTGTTTTGCTGTGATCTTCTTTAGTTGTTGTTCCTTAAATGGTAAACAGTGAATACAGAAAACATCAATGCAGTGATTTATTGTTACAAATACAAAAGACAGCATTACAAAATTTTTAAGCTTTAATCAAGAGAAAAATAAAACAGAAATTCCATATATTACTATTACCATAGAGAACCTTATCTGAGCCACTGCCATTATTTCCAGCAGGAAGTAGGGTTCAAAGCATTTCCATCAGGCAGGTATCCCTGTCCCCACCCGCTCTCCCAGCATAGCTTTCTACGTGCCCAGAATGATGTCCACATGTACTGACTCTCCGCTGATGTGGGGGTGGCACTGTTCTACTTGGTTCCCCCATTACAACTGGGTAAATCACCACACTCCTCTGCGTTCGGACCTTAACAGCCAATGGGCTATGAGGTCAATAGGTTGTAAGGATAAGAAACATAAATATGAATGTTCAAAAGTTGAAACAGTCCCCTTTGATAACTTACTATATTTATAATTGTCCTTTATAGAATTCTACCCAATCACAAAATTTTAAAAGGAAATCTATTTTGATATACCCTTTTACCCTGATCAAAACAGACTCCTCTTAGTCTTGTCACCCTCTATACCACCAAAGCTCAGATATGGGGATATTCCTACAGCCTTCTCAATTAACTAGGCCTGTGATACTCGGTTCTTCCCAAGGTCAAGAATGCTTAAATACCAAATATGAATGTGGGGCAAGGGAAATCCTGAATATAAAGGCCATATTAGAATGACTTGTAATTTGTTCGCAGTTTTTCTCACCCAAATCTTATTTAAAACAGCCTTTCTCTCTGAATAGTCTATCTCTAAACATCAAAGAGCTGCTAAGGAAAGACAGGGATATATAATTGAGTGGGGCTATTATCTAAAATGGTCTAAAAGTTGATCCTCTCCTCTCCTTGAAACTACAGCCCACCGAAGCCCAAGGTCAGAGAAGGTCCCTGCACATTAAACCACAGGCTCCCACGAGAGACCAGATGCTGCTTTTCTGGTTTGGGAAGACCAACAGCGGCTTCAAGCCACTACTAGCTGTGACTCTGGGGCTACTACTCTGGAGGTGAGAGAAGATAGGGTGGTGAAGACAATGGACTGGTGAGTGGAAAGCAAAAGGAGGAACTGAGTCTACACACATCCCCACTAGCACAGCTTAAGTGAAAGATGCACAGACTCTACTCGTTGCCATGAATCAATTGCAAGCACAAAAGTATGTGTTAGTCACTTTGGATGGCAGAAGTAAAATGATCAAAACTAGTCATTCCTATCTTCTGCAATGTATTTCCATAAAGTGTACATAATTCTAAAAAGTGTTTCAAATCTCGCCAAAAAAAATGTCATAAGTAACAGTCCCTATTCTTAAGTTCTACGACTCTAAATGCAGACGCAGTGTGGCTGGATGATGACTGTAATACCTGAGGCCAGCCTGTATCACAGGAAACAGTGCAAACAATCAGTGCAAGCAGGAGCTAAGCAGGAAAAAAAAAGAAAGTTCATACAAAACAAGGAGACTGAGTAGAGACCTGCACACCAAGCAGAAGCCTAAGTTGGGTAAAAGAAAATAGTGAGGCAAGGAAGGCTATGAAAGTACACCAGTAAGAAGGCATGCAAAGCCAAAAAACCTTTTTCTTAAGAATGTGCGTGTGTATGTCTGTATGTATTTTTAAAAATACTCTAACAAAGGATATTAAAGGGAAACAGATGAAAAATTAAACATACATAAAAACTCAAAGTTTTCTATTATAAATATTTGCTTCAAATCTTAGTACTTTTCAGAATACTTCCTAAACATTAAATGAGTCTACATGATGACTTTTTCAAGTGTCATTTGAAATCACCTTGTTATATTTTTGCCGTTTTACAGAATCTAGTTTCCTGTTGATGTCTCTGTTGGTGGCAGCTTGAGGGCTAAGTTGTTCAATAATTTTATTGATTTGCCTTAGGGATGTCGTACATGACCTGAAAAATAAGATAAAATGTATGTTTTCCACCCTGATAACATTTCTAATAGTATAATATAAAGATTGAAATACTAAAAACATGGCTCTCTTATTTCTTATTAACTAAGATAAAATAAACTAAACTAAAATGCATAGTCTTCTTGACCATAAATAGAACTTGAAGGGTTGTTAGAAGTTTAAGATGACTATTGTTTTCTTTTATCTGGCTTCTTTAAATCAGCTCATTCCATTTTGTAAGCTGATTAATTTATCCTGTAAGCATTTTAAGTGACTAGTTTATTTAAGAGACTACTAAAACAATGTGCAATAAGTTGTCCTTTTATATGAGAAGATGAGTACATTTTTTTAAGACTATTTTTTATAGAAGTTTTAGGTTCACAGCAAAATTGAGAGGAAGGTGCAGAGATTTCCCATATACCCCCTGCTTCCCCTATTGTCAACCACCCCATAGATGGATTTTAAAAGTCCATTATGAAAGTCTCTCTAAGCTTGAAAAAGTACTAAAAATGCTTAAACATTTTCTTATATAAGTCAGACATCTGTGGCAATATTTTTCTTTCACATGACCAGAAAACACATTTGCTGTAGTATTTCGAAGGGGGAAAAATCAATTTGTAATACATTGCTCCTAAAATAAACACCACAGAATTATAGCTCCCAATTTTCAAAACACCAATTCAATCTTGACATTTGTGTAATTTGCTGTTATATGCTTTCTGGATTTTAGCAATTTTAGCATAAGAAGATGTTATCAATGCAAATGACTGGCAAGCCTAGGACCACAAGCCACCACCCATCTGGTGCTAACCTGCCTGGGGCTCTGCAGCACTCTGCTCTGCCACCTCTGTAAGCAGTGGACACATTTCTAAGGTCAAATGTAAAAGGTGTGTTCATTACAAAGAGTTGAGGTGCTCACACCTGAAGGTCAGACTACAACGATTCGAGAACATCTGCAACTCAAGAGGCCTAAAGAACATACCAAGAAACTTAATAGAAAACATGTCCTTTAAGTGCCAATAGCCAGCTATACTACAGCCTTCCCCAGTGGGTAACCAACAGCTCCATGTTACTCCTTCTCCCCTCCCACAACCACCCCCAGCTAAGACTGCACCACCCCTCCATCCAGCCCTCTCCTTCTCTTTCTGGCTTGCCTGACATTGCCTGGAACACTGGCCAAGGCAGAGAAGACCAGCAATGGAGTGTGAGCTCAATCCTGCAGCCCCTCCTAGCCCAGCCCAGAGCCCCTTCCTTCTCTACCAATGTGTTAATGTGTTATGCTCAACAGGGCCCAAGTCTCCTCTAAAACACAAATGAAATCTCCATGGGACTTCATCTTCCCTTACAGTCAAAAGTAGGACAGAAGAAAGGAAGAGCAAAGAGATATTTTCCCTTATTTCTAGAAATGCAAAATCTGAAAAATTACCAAAAGACATACTCATTTTAAGGGAAAGAAACTACAAGATAGAGAAAAATGTGAAGGCAGGTGTGTTCCTGGTTTCTCGAGCAGGACACCTAAGAACTGTGAGTACACTTCTCCTGAGAATGATTCTGTGCACACGCTTGTGAGTTCCGGGTCACTCCTCTCCATTATGCACAAACAGGCTGTTGTGAGCTGGTCTAAAACTTTAACTACCATGTGCACGCTGCTCCAGAGGGAAAGGCTGAGGTTCGAACACAAGGTCGGTGAGCGCCCTTTTGTTCTATCCTCCATATGAGAAATGCTATGAATCTCCTATTTCTGGGATACTACAGCTAGTACCTGAATCTCTCCACCCCTTGTACACACAAACTCTGCAATTAGAGAGAAGACGGTCCACACTCACGCAAGGTCATCCAGGACTGACTGATACTCCTTCTCTGCATCAAGGAGCTGGGCAGCATGGCTGGCCTCATGGATGGCACTGTCCACCTGCTGAAGCACCCCTTGCTCCAGCACGTCCTGGTCATAGACGTCCACACCCAACCCCTGCAGTTCAAGGGCCTGCGCACTGGGCTCCACCGCCTGGATCTGATGTCTGTCGATATGCAGCAGGGCCGGCCTTCTCCTCGGAACTTCCCATGGACACCCCTCCGTGGAGATGGATGGCCCATTAGCAGAGGAACAAGAGGGGAGGCTTTCCTCCATCTCTGCATCACCATCATTTTCTTGCTTAACTGTCATTTTCTCACTATCACTGACACACCAACTCTGTAAACAGTCTTGCTCCTCAGTTTGACTTGAGTCGGGAATTCTCTCATTCGGCATCCTTTATAGACGACCTAAAAGTAAAAAAACAAACAAACAAAAAAACCTTTCAATAAGCCTTTTCTGTTATACAGAAAGGATAGCTACATAGTTTCTTAAATATTTTATGAAGCAGACTGATTTTTCAAAAGATCAAGTAATAATCCTCCAATTACACAAACAAGTTTCCAAGTATTACTTTTCTTAAAAGCTATGTATCTTCTTGAGTTCTGATAATAAACAAGAAAAACTAACCAAAAGAAAAAAATGTAGTGTCACTGACAAAGGACATTGGGTAGCCAGCTAAAAAAGCTGACAACCAAAGTCCTGAGTGACAGTGAAGAGTCCTACATTAGCCTCTTCACTATGCCATGGCATAAATGACTTACATTATAGTGGCATGATCAACTGTGATGTGCAGATTTAGATTTAGTGATGTAAGGAGAGAGCTTCTATATGAATCTGACACTAGAAACTTGGAGATTGAACATTTATTTACTCCAATAAACAGAAACAAGAGATCATCATAACACCACTCAAATCAGAATCTGAGAAAAATTAAAATAGTCTCAAAAATAACTCTATTTCGATGTGTGATATAATTTCTTACCCACTGGGTAGGCAAAAACATAAAGCCAGATAATATCCGTATAGACCAGGAAGATACACCCTCAAACAATGCTGGTGAGAATATAAATTAGTAAAGCTCCTTTGGAAGGCAATTAGCAATATCAAGATTTAAAATGCACCCGACTAGGTATTTATTCCAGAGAAATAATATGTGCAGGTATGTTTATTGCAGCATGTTTTAACAGTTTAATGGAGGCATTAGGTATATTCAGTGGTACCGGTATAAGTCTTGTAAAGTGAAAAGAGCCACAGTATAAACACATTTATGGAAAAAGCTGCATCTGCATCTGTGTGCATGGAATGTACTCAAAATGATCTGGAGATAACACTACACCTACAATAGTTGGAAGGGGAAGCAGAAGAGGCAGGGAGGAATACAGAAGAAGTTTCACCTTTCCAAGTAGTCAGGAATTCCTTGAATAAAAATATATTCACTATATTGCCTGCATAATTCTAATAACTAGATTATAAAGCAACACACTGACCAAGAGACAGCTTCCTTTTCATTTAATTGTGAATAAACTAAGGTTTTTCAGCACTGAAACTTATTTCTATGAAATGACCACAAGTACCCCCAATAAGCCCCACTCATTCCTCATTAGATAAAAAGATCCCAGAGGCCAAGCAGAGATACAGAGATGCAGGAACTTGGCATCACCCTGCCCTGAGTGGCTCACTCTCTAGTGGGAAAGAG